TCTGTTTGGAATTACCAAGTGGGAGAAGCAGAGGACAGTGTTGCCAGATCTGGACCTAAGGCCCTCTTCCTTCGTTCCTTCCTTCTCCTTGCATTTTCTTTCTGAGGTAGCCCTACTCGATGCAGTCTCCTGAAACCGCCTACATGCTGCTAACTTGCAAACACCTCTTTTCCTTCTTTACTACTTGTCCACCCCAGTCCACACTCCTGTTTCAACCTGCAGTGTCCTCTTCCTCTTGCTTCCTCCCTTCTCCCCCAGCAATCCTCCATCAGCCTTTAATTTGCAAATGGAATCTCATTCTGGCTGATCTCTGCCCAAGGCATTGCTCAGAGATTACAATCCTCTCTCCTCACCACAGCCTGCTTGATTGGGGCCTGAGGCTTCCCTTGTGACTACATGTCCTTGAGTCTGCTTTCACCTCAGTGATGTGTTGGGGCTTAGGATGTCTCTCCTGTGTTCCCTGCATGCTGCATTTTTGTCTCTCGGGAACACTCTTCTTATCAAACTCCCTGATGGCATCCTCTATTTAGGTTCCATCTCACATTCCTCCCTCGCCAAAGAAGACTTTCTGTTCACAATATTCAAAACATACCTGGTTACTCCTACCCCTGCCTTCGTCATTGGCCTTCATGCTAGTTCAGGCACCTGGACTTACATTTCCTGTTTACATCTTGCTGTCCACTGTTTCCTCCAGAATGGAGCTTCCTTGAAGGTGGAACTGACTCACTTGCTCAGTAGCTCTGGTGCTCTATAAAAAGTTGCAGGAATGATTAAATTAATAATGAAGTGAATTCATTAACCATGGTGCTTGCCATGCACTGAGGACTCAGGCAGGGAACAAGGGGACAAGGAAGAGTCCCTACCATCAAGGGACAGGATCGCCATCTTGGGGAGAGACAGATATATTTTATGTGTAGGATCCCCTGAGTGGCATGAGTGGCTCATGTAGGCTGGACCTGCATCCTGTTTAAGAAGGCAGGTTGAAGGTGAAAGAGCTATGAGCAAATGGATGGATTTTAGGGAACAACAAAATTCCTTTTCTGAGCTTCTAGGAGCTTTCCATCACTCTCTGGTCCTTGGGGCCCTGAGCTCAGGAGAGACGCCCATACTCACAATGAGGGATTTTAGAAGTTGTACTATAGGATGGGTGAGATCTAATTCTGCTGGGTTTGGGCCAGCAAACCCTGACTAGAGAGATGACTGAAGACATGAAAGAGAATTATCGTTGTGAGAAAGTTAAGGGGCTTTCCTGGAATGAAGCCTCAAACTGACTTAACTCCCAGTTTTATTGTTGAGGAAACAACAGAAGCACTGTGCTCTGTTGAACATAGGTGCATATTTTAGATTAGAAAATTCTGGTGAAAATTATGCTGAATTATTAACTTCATAAAATTGCTCCTGGGTTGCTTCTCCTTGTTTCATCAGCAAGTCTCGCCTCTTCCCAAGCTGTTAGAACACCTCATCTTCAAGTTGTTCCAGCTCCTCAGAGATAGCAGTTTTCTGTGCCCTGAGTGAAGGTGAGCAAGTGTTAACTCACTGGGTGCTGCAAGGAACTCCACACAGTTCCTACTGGTGCTGGAATCAGGAAGAAGACTGGCCTGACTTCTCTAAGGGGAAACCAAACTGCACCAATGGCTCAGCCTGGGGGAGCCCTGTGGGTACCTTGGCTTCCCTCAACCGACCCACGGAAGCACTCCAATGTCCTCACTTCTCCTAGAGCCTTCCAGCTCACAAAACAGGCCACCCACAGCTTCCCAACTTCGGCAGCCCAGCTGTGGTGTCTTCAGTCTCCTCCTTCTCTGTAGATGATGTCATTGAAGCCAAAGCCCAACAGACAATCTACTTTCTCCAGGAAACCTTTTTTGGTTTCCTTCTTTCTCCTATTCTACAGCACATATCCTCCTTTTTAAAAAATATTTTCATAGATCTATCCACTTATCTGTCCATGAATCCATAGATCAATTAATTGACCCACCCATCCAACCATCCAACCATCTATTTATGGGTTCATTGTCCATTCAACACATTTTCACTGAACACTACTATGGCATTGATTCACAGTGGTTAACAAGGATGCTGTCCCATCCCTCCAAGGTTTAAAGTCTAATAAAGGAAGGAGTCCATATGCAACTAATTGCAAAGTAAAACTTTAACACAACTATGATAAATGCTGTGGATATGGGGTATTTGAAATGTGCCACTGAGCAATCGAGTTTTAAATTTTATTCCATTTTAATTAATGAAATTGAACTTTAAAAACTAAAGCAGTGTAAAGGTTGTGTTGCTGTTTATTCCACAAAACTTTGTTGTTTTGGCAGGACAACATTTTTATCTTGTAGGAAATTCAAAGACTTAAAAGCATGTCTGTGGTGGCACATGCCTGTAATTGAAGCACTTGGGAGGATGACACAGAAGGATTGCTGCAAATTCAAGGCCAGCCTTGGCTACATAGAAAATTTAGGGACAACCTGAAGTGCCTACCAAGACCCTGTCTCAAAAAATAAAAAACAAAAAACAACAAAATAAAGCATGTAGCATATCACACTATTTTCGTTGTTAGCATGTTGAAATGATATAACTAAATATTGGGTTAAATGTTATATTAGTAAATATTTATTTCACCTATTTTTTAATCTTTTAAATGTAGATTCTGTAAAATCTAAAATCTATATGTGGTTCACACTGTATTTCTAGGACAGAGGTGAGTCAGGTGCAGGACAAAAGGGACAAAGTAACAGCGAGAGGAGATGTGAGGGATTTGGAGAAGGTCACACTCGTCAGGGTGGAAACTCACGTTTAGTAGACTCCTAGTTTATGAATAAGGGTTCAAGTTCTATGTGCACAAGATTCAAATAGTGCTAAATAGACATCATCAGTCTCTTGTTACAAAGGCAGAAGGAGGTTTGGGGAGGTAAAGTAAGTTGATCACAGCTCGTTGCTGGCAACCCCTTAAATTTGGAGGAGGCATCCACCTGCGCTGGCCTTATTTATCTCTCTGTACACTGCTTTCAATTCAATTATGTCAGATTTCTCTTTCCTGCTCCTCTCTCTATGCTCCTCTCACATTTCTGGACACCTGCAGACATGTGCTCTATAATGCTGAATGAATGGATGACAATGAATGCATATTTCTCCAAATTAGGAAATCGCTGTTCCGTGTCAGAGCCTGTTTGAGGCTCAGGTCTAACTAGTCCAGTGTAAAACACCAACATCACCTTTAGTTTAGCACCTACCTCCTACCCTCAACTTGGCCAGTGCTGCCCTGGATCTCTTGCTGAGGAATATGAGGTACAGGTGAGGTGTTCTTGTTTCTCCTTCCTTCCCTGTGGAGGTTTCTGCTGTCCTCTGGTGTAGTGAGTTCTGGGAGGGGAGATGAAGAAGTATGGATCTCTTCCCCTCAGCAGTGCTGTATTCACTGGGGCTGGAGTGCGAAGCGGCAGCCTGGAGTCGGGGGACCAGAGGTGAGAGCCTATAGGAGGGCCCTGCATATGTGCTTGTGTGCATGGGTGTGTGCTTGCATAGTGGATTGTGCCCTCTCCCAGGAACTGGTGCAATTTTACAGCTCTGATCTTGGAATCTGTGCAGCCACAGACTGAAATTTCCAGGCTTGGTCTCTGTCCTCCCTCTCAGACCTCAAAGGATCTCTCCTCTCCTCTTTGCCAATTGGCACAGAGGAAGTTTAGACTGCTACCTTGCTACCTGTCTCTTCAGTTCCACTTCCTCCTCTCAGGGGAGCATGAAGCTAGACCAACAAGTCCATGTCTGCTGCGTGGAGAAAGAGCAGCCCAACTGCTGCAAGCTCAGGTCTCCAGGAGTTATCTTCTTGCATATTCTTGCCTGGCTGGGCTGTAGGGGAGGCTGGTAGGAAGTGGGAGCTCTGTAAAACCCCTCTCCTACCCTACCCTGGCTGATAACGTTTCAAACTTCTCCAAACTAGCTGAATGTGCACACCAGAGGTGCTGGGGGTTGCTGTGGGGAGACCTGTGTGAGTATGTCATCTTCAGTCCTGAAGATGTATTCAAAGGCCCCTCATTAAAAGACAATTCATACTGTGCTCAGCACTGTGCTAACCTCTGCATATAAAAGGAGAAAAAGCAAATTTGTGGCAATTTGTTTTTTCATGGGGATAACAAAGCAGACCAATGTATATATCTGTATTGTCAAGATAAACCATCAGGAAGCCAGATGGAGTAAGAGTGGAGAGACACAGGAGAGGCTGTTTTCATCAGCAGGTTAGGGAAACAGGAGCTATATTTCAATTCACTTTGTCCCAGCTTGAAGCCACTAGACAATACCTGGTATCAGGAGATGCCTATCCGACCTTATATGAGCCTAGTTAAGTGGAAGACAGGGATTGAATTTCCAAGTCCATGCTCTAACAGGTGTGGTGGCACAGACCTGTAATCTCAGCATTCCAGGAGGCTGAGGCAGGAAGACTGCAAGTTTGAGGCCAGTTTGAGCAACTTAATAATTTAACGAGCCCTTATCAAAATAAAAGAAACTGAAACAGGTCTTGGGATTCAGCTCAATGTGAAGGCCTTGGTTTAATCCCTAGAACTGGAGGTACTGAGGGGTGGGGATGGAGTCCATGCTCTGTGTTTGGTTATGTCTGTCCAGGCTCAGTTTCCCAGCCTTGCTGGGACCCACCACTGATCTATTCTCTCTTCCTGGAAGCTGTTCCAAGGGCTGTGACAGGGCAGACTTTCAGTGATGTCTGCTCAATGTGGAGGAACCTCAGGGAAAAAGGACCCTAAAGCTCACTGTATCAGGGCCAGCTCTGCGGCTGGAAGCTTGAGGTGGAGCTCAGCCCCTCCTTTGTCTAGCTCATGGGTACCAGAGGCAACAACCACCTCCCTAACTGTGGGTTGAGGGTTTGGGCGGAGCCCTTTTCTACAGTGACCACTTCTCTAGTTCATAGTTCTGCTCTAGGCTTGGCTGGGGGGTGGGCAGTGGGAGCTAAAAAGCAGCCTCAGGCTGGCAGAAGACTAGGTGGTGGCTTCCTGGTTGATCAAAGCCTCACCCTGATTTTCACCAGCTCAGACCAGGGACACAGTCTTGTTCTTAACATGTCTCCCACACTTGGGCAGGCCCTGTGCCCCCTCCTGACCATCCTTCAGCTGGGACTCACAGGTGAGTTCTGCATCCTGCCCACCTGACCCTCTGCAGGCAGAGCCCTATGGATTGCTAAGTGCAGCTCCCTGGGTTGCAGGTGGGAAACAGACCTAGAGGACAAGGTTGGGCCCTTTCCTGCCCACCAGGTGGTGTCTTGCCTTTCTTCCTCTGTGTGGACCCTGTGGGAAAAGGGTGCGAGCTTACAGGCCACAGAAGGAAGACATGATACAGGGCAGGATGCTAGGGGAGGCCAGACGGTGAAAGTGGACCCCCCTCCTCCCAAGAATTCTTGATGGGAATTCTGGCCTGGGTCAGGGAATGTGTACAGGCAGGAAGGACAGAAGCAGGGGATGAGTCCTGAACCCCAAGTCAGACTAATCCACTCACCTCTCATCACTGACAGCCTGTGTGCCCTTGAGCAAGTCATTCTTTATGATTGTCTGCTGACAGTTGGAATCTAGGTAAAAAGAGCATGCACATCTGGAAGGGCTTTATAAATCATAGTGGGCTGTGAGCAGGGAGGGAGGGGATAAGGAGGGAGCATGGTGCCCAGGTTGACACTGTGGGCTAACAGGCACAGGTCCACAGCCTTCCTGAGCTGTCCTCTGCCACTTGTTGCCCTGTGTTGACACTGCTGGCAAAAGTGTCTGTCTTCTATCCCTGCTGCCTGACTACAGGCTATTCAAGAGCCAAGGTCCTGTCTCTGCACCTCCAGCATCCAGCTCACAGCCTGATGCAGACCAATGGTTCAGGGTGCCTCAAAAGTTTGGAGAGATCATGCTGTACATGTCTGAAGAGCTGTCCTCTGGAGAAGGGTTGACTCTTGGTCTGCACTTTTCCTGGGATGACTCCAGGAGACAGCTGAGATTAGGAGTAGGAAATACTTTTTTATAGTCTTGTCTATGAGGGTAAACAAAGCTTCTGGAGGGGAGAGAACTCCATGTCACAGGAGATGAGAAGGGGGAGGGGGATGCCTTATGAGGTGTTGACAGGAGGAATGCGACTGGCAGGGCCGGCCACCTTTGTTGACTCCATACTCAAGCCACTATAAATTTATGTCCCAAATGGACATTGTGACTCTTCGCCATTCCTGTCTAACGTGGTCATTGTTCTGTTCTCTTCATCTCGAAAACAGAGCCACCATCTAACCCAATGCTCGAGAAAAACCTGGGGATCATTGTCCAGAATTCCTTCTACCCCTCATGCCCCATCCGCCCTGCTGCCATCCTGTGGGCCAGATCTTCCAACTGTATCTCCAATCCTCATGTTTCTCACCACCCCAAGCCAGGCTGCTGTAACTTCAGCTCCCCATAGGTTCCCTGTTCCCTTCTCACCACCGTCCTTGCTGGCCTCTACAGTCTTCTGAAAATGCAGTTGAGATTGTCTTGTACCTGTGTTTAATGTCTCTGTTTAATGGCCGTTGATCATACAGGATGGAATCACAAGTGTTGCCATGTCTCACGGGCTTACTTCTATCAGGGCCTCTTGTACACCCAAGTCCTACAACTCTCTTGGTTTCTTGTTCTTCTTAGCTCTTCCCACCTGAGGCCCTTCTTACCTGTTGTTTGCACCACTCAGAGTGTTCTTCCTGGGCCCTGTCCCATAGCTGGTTCCTATTCCTTTCTCAATTTTAGCTTAAATATATATTTCTCTGATCATGTCTTCAGAATGAGTCCTCCTGGCATCTCTGTGTTCTTTGGATTTCCCAAGGACACTGAGCCTGAGGTACGATTGGACCTAGTGTTTGCCGTTTACTTGTTTCTGTCTCTTTGTGAACTCCCTGAGGCCAGAACCAAGCACATGACAGTAGTAAGTCCCTGAGACCTTTATACCATGTATCTCTCTTATAGCCCGAGGTGGGGGGGGTACACCTGTGTGGTCATAGTCACACTGTCTTTTGCAGCTGGGCAGCCCTTCATCTCTCTGATGGGTCCATCTCAGAGGATAATTCCAGACATATCAGAACCTTTCAACTGCACTGCTGGCCCCTTCAGCTCCAGGGATGCCAATGTCACTTGGTTTAAGAACAGCGATGAACATCCAGCCTCAGTCCAACACCACATGGCTGACAACAAAGGCATGTACTCCATCAGCAGCAAGGCATGGGTGACACTGACTGGAGAAGACATCTTGTCTCATATCACTTGTGAAGTTACCCATAGCGACCTTCAAGAGCCCGTGCGAATGACCATGAATCTCTCCCAAGTGCTCTACAGTGAGTGGGCTGCGCAGTGCGCTTATGTATGGGTATTCTGGCAGCACTGGTTTGGGGATTTTTGACCAAAGCCTCATTTAACAAATGGAGATTTGGAATTTCACATTACCAGCCCTTACCACACATTAAGAGATAAAAAACATAGCTTCCAGAGGCTGGCTGTGTGTCTGGGTTTTAATCTCGGCTGGGCCACTTTGCAAATTGTGTGATCTTGGATACATTTCTTAACTATTTTATGCCTTAGTTTCTTTATAAAATAGGAATAAAATTAAGATCTACTTTGCAGGTTTCCTCTGAAGATTAAATAGATTATTCCTTATCTAACTCATAAAACTAGACATGGCTCACAGCAAGTTGCTCATGAGTATCTGATCTTCTCGTTATTATCTGGCCCCCTCCTTCCTTTTTAACCATCCTTGTCCAGTTAATACAGGTGTAATAAAAATGCAATGAATATTTAAACTGAAATTTTACTACAGTAAAAGACACGTTACCGTTAATCTCCCTCAAGACACTCTTCCTTCTTCAAACACACTTATTCCATTTTCTTGCCTCTTTCTGAAGCAATTCTGGAAGTTTTCTTTTGTGTCTTTATGAGATGGAATAAAAAATATGACAAATGCTACTGCCAAGAGTCACTGAATGGAAAAGCAGGCTTGTGAAAGCATTGTGGTGCGTCCTTGTCCACCTTATTCATCGGTTCTGGCACCATGCACCTCTGGCCTCCTTCAAAGTCAAAATGAAAGAATTCCCAGAATGGCTTTAGAAAGTGGCCTGGATGATGGGATAAGTGTTTTTGAAGTAAGGGGCAGTAATGGAAATAGATCTTTTACTTGAATACATTTTTAAAAATTTAAAGGTTCACCATATTTTTCAACATATCACTGCTATTGTTTTTTAAATTCTAAATAGCCATTGTTTATTCAACAAGTAATGAATATCCACTCCATGACAAGTGCTGTCCTAGGTGCTGTGAATTCAGTAACGAGCAAAATTAAGTCTCTGTCCTCATGGACATTATATTGTAATAATTGTTACAATTATATTTCATCATACAAAATATTTTAAACATAGAAAATAAAATGTCACATGCTTATCCACCTCCATTTATATTTACTAGATAGTAATACTTGTCACAGTTTGCTTTACATTGAGTATAGAAAGAGTGAGATATCTTGAGATTTGTTCCTTGAGACCTGGGGTGGGGGGGCAGGCAGGGACTAACATCACCAGTTCAGTTTCTGTTTTTCTGTCTAGTTATCCCCTCCCTAAATATCACCAAGTCCTCTGAGTCCTCTGACCATGATCATCACAGAGTGAACCTCACTTGCCATGTGAACCATTTCTACCCTTCCCACCTGAAGCTCATCTGGATGAAAAATGGGCACAAGATCCTCGAGGAATTCCCTGAGGTCACAAGCAACCTGGATGGAACATACTCTCTGGAGCACAAGCTGCCGGAGGAGGTCACACTGGATGGCAGTGAGTTTGCCTGCTGGGTGGTCCAGGGTGACCAGGCCCCAGTCAAAGCGGCCATCACAGTGCAGGCCTCCAGAAAGAGCACAGGTGAGTGCAGCTCTGGTTCAGCCCTTTTTGTGCAGCAGAGTGAAGGCCAGGCCTCAGAGGAGCAGTGAGTGAAGGTGGAGGAAGGCAGGATGCCCTAGATAAGAGAAAACTCTTAGCCACTTCCAAAGAGTGCTGTCTCCCTCCACCACACCCCAGAGGATGGAGTGGTCTTTCCTCCATTTCACGCACTCTTCATATGGAAAGTGTTCCACCCTACCTAACCTTGACTGTAATACAATTTAAAGAAAACTGGGCATCAGTCGCTTCTGGGGAAGCTGTTAATCAAGGTTGGTACAGTTGAAATTTCTGGAAGTCAGCTTTAAAGAGAAACTAGAAACCTTAGCTGAGAATGGGAGTGGCCGCAGGCCTTCACATTGGATGGGTGTGTGCCCCTTCCTTCTGGTTTTCTGGCTTCCACTCTTCTCCTTCCTTTCCATCTTTTTCCTCTTCCGGTCTGACTTTTATGGCCTGAAATGATTTTTTCCCACCAGAGGGCGCTGCCGGCTGGCAATTCAGACGGCGACGGGCGAGAGCTGCTCTCTCTCTGTTGGTCCTGTTTAGATCCTCTTGAGGGATGAATTATTGCTGGCCTGCACAGGCATCTGATGAGTAGGGAGGATGAGTGAGCCCAGGGAAGCCAGCGTGCGGGGCGACAGCTGTCCGGAGAAGCGGGGAAAGAGCTTTTTTCCTACGTGCCTTGTGCCTCTGTGCAGTGTAGTCTACAGACAGCTTGGGTGTGAGGCTGAAAACAGAGGGGAACGAAGTGGTCTTCACATAATAGGCTTCCACCTTTTCCTCTCTGTCTCTCCCGCACAGAATTGCCCTTTATCTGCCTCCTGTAGGAATTCTCAGGGCAATGATCTCATACATCTTTAAATTCCACCTCGCTTTACTGCCCAGCAGAAAAACATCTACCCAGCAGGCTGTACAGGTGTGGGTAAAAACTCCAAGCTTCCTTTCAGGTGGGAAGCAGCTTGAGTTAGTGCTTTATTGACTCGTGCTGAGTTTTCCCTTCTCTGTCTTATGTTTCTCCTTCACTTGACTTCAGCATCTCTAGCCTTTGGATGCAGAATGAGCCCATGGGAGCATCAGTTCGATGATGGTGCTACCTATGCAGCTTTATGAGCTTCAGAGCTGCAGGGAGAGGGCAGCTTCTGCCTCTTCAGGTACTCAGGCCTCTTTAGGGGGAGCCTCTACAAGCCACCTCAAAAGACTGTTCATCAGCATCCCCAGTCCATTGTACACTTGCATTCCGTGCCCTGTTCCTTTTAGCTAACAGTCATAGAGAACTTACTCTACACCAGGCTCCGCACCCGCGTGGATCCTATGACAGATGGAAGGTAGGATAGGAACCAAGATCTCAGAAATCTTAAACTGCATCTTAGTATAGCTTAGGATGCAGCTGTCTGTTCAGAAATTCAATGTGTTTTACTGTAATTTTCTCTTCTATCCTGCCAAAGAATGCAAACCCTAGTACTCTTTCAAGGCTCTTACCAAAGCTGCATCTTAAATACCCTATATCTGATATCCATTTTTCCTGAACTGTCACATCTGTCTGCACCATTCAGTTCCCAAAATTGGTGCTTAAACTGTGGGCTTCCTGAAAGCTCATATCCTGGGGTTTTATCACACCACAAACAGTTCCCCATGTCCTTGGAACAGAGGCAATCCCTTATGCTTGAAGGTGGTCACATTTTGATGTTTCAGGGACCAGTGTCACATTACAAGGTTGCCCCTGTCCATGTGTGTGACTTCAGGTAAAGCAGCTCTAAGTCATATCTTCCTCTGTACCTTTCTGGGACACATTGAGGTTTGCTTTTCCTAACTCCTGCAAGGCATCTGTACAGTGGGGCACATAGTGAGGGCTCTAAAATATTTGTTTACAGACTCCGTAGTGCCCAGAAAGTTTAAAGATCACTGATCAATATAAAGCCAGCAGAGGCTTGAGGTGAAATTTCTGGGTTACACTGCCAATTCTGTTCTCCATAAAGCCACTGGCCAAGTCCCTAACCCTCTCTGAGTCTTTTCATTCTCCATTCACATCAAAAATAGAATGAGGAACAATTCCATGGATAGTTTTTATGTATGATGCTGATGGTTACCATTTATGGAGTCATTAGTGTGCATCACATATCCCAATTCAGCTCTTTTAGTTAATTTATTAACTTTGAGAATTAAGTTTCATCCCCACTTTACAGATAAGGGACTAAGACACAGTTAAATTGTTTGAACTCATCCAGGGGAGGCTTGTGAATGCAAAGTTGGGCTGAGTGGACTTCCAAAGCCTGTACTCTAACCTCTTCCCATGACCTGCTTGTGAACAGTAAGGGATTTCTCCTTTGGAGAGACCGAGGACATGGCTGAGTGGTAGTCAGAGGAACAGACCATGGGATCAAAATGCCTGGTCAAGAACCTGTGGCTCTGCCATGGCTAGCTTTGGCCTGAATAGATACTCAGCCCTGGGAATCAGTTTCCTCATCTGTGAAATAGTACCTCTCTAGCAGGTTTGCTGTGAGAACTCAGTGAATTGGGAGAGATACCAGAAGCAGGTTGTGATAAGGCTGTTTGCCATGATGCTGGCCTCCTTATAGACTGTGTGGTCCCCTGTGGCTTCCTGTTCAGCCTCTAAAAGCAGCTTCATTTGGAGCCCATCATCAGGGAACATTTAAGCCCCATGGAAGGCAAGCAGCAGGGATTTTGAAGATTCATTCATACAGGGATTCAAGCAACTGTGGCATGGGCTCATAAGGGTCTGTACTTGCAGGAAGGATGTCCCCATCACAGAGGATCTCTGCCAGCTTGGAAGGCCCCCAGCAGCGATCTGAGCCTGGCACAAGCATCCAGCTAATGTACACATTGATCAGATTACAAACACGTCATGTTACGATGACCTGCTTCAAAAACAATCACAAACTCCAGACCAAGTCCCAGACCAAGGTGTTCTCTGGTGGAGACACCTATAATATCACCAGCACTGTGTTTGTCCCACTGAACAAAGATGATATGTTGTCCTTTGTCCATTGTGAGGTAAAGCAGAAGTCAACACTGATTCTCCAGAAAAACATCAGCCTGAGCCAGTACCTACGTGGTAAGAGCTTTCTTTTTGTTTGGCTGAGCCAGTGCAGAGTTGGGATGGGAAATTGTTAATTTTCTCCCTGAGAAAAGAGTTCACTTGGCTGTGCAAGTATTCAATAATTGACACCTGTGAAGTACTTGGTCCAGTGTCTCTGACACACTGATTGCACAAAGATGGCATTGGTTGTTGTGTTTTTTAATTCTCAGTAATTACTTTCCATCATTTTAAAATGCAGACAGAATATCTTCTGGAAATTTAATTTTATTATTTATATTAAGTGCTTTGTGACTTTTAAATTTTAGAGATTATGATGATAGTAGATTATTATTTCTAGCTGGATAGGGTTCTCATTTTTTGTTTGTCTGTTTTACTTTCTTAGTTTACCTGGGCTGTACCATTTGCTTGGAAGATTTGTAAAATCATAAAGTGTAATTCCTAGAAAGGATCTAGTAATCATCTCAGTGTTTCTGACAACTCTAAAGTCATGAGAAGTCAAGTGGGTGGTCCGAGGTTGTATAGTGTAGTGGTAAAGTGAAATCTTTAAAGCACATTTAACTTTAAAATTTACAAAATATTTCTCTCTTCATTTCCCCATTCAAAGAATAGAGGAACCAGTGTGCTATTATCGTGTATTGTTTGCCATAGAAGAAAATAATGGCATTAATGTCTCAAGTGCAACACACAATCAGTAAAGTCACAGTCATTAACTTAGTTAATGTGTACAACTGCCCTCTATAGCTGTCTTGTTTGTGGATTACAAAAGGAAACTGGAATATAAGCCAAGTTTGTAAAGCTTGTGAGTGAGAGTCCTTTTGACATGAGTCCACACTTCCAACTCTGCTGTTGGTACCAGCTGTAGAGTTGCTTGTGAATTCCCCAAGATATCTTGGTCTGGAAGTTGATAGTGCAGGGGTCCTCCATATCCAGCTACTTATTATACAGTTCCCCAGGGTTAGGGTAGCTGTGGTGAGAAGCAATAGTCATAGAAAATATGATTAGTCAAAGATGAGCTGCTACTCTAAGCTGTTCTCTGTTCACCACGCACACAATGTAGATTAAGTGTCTTGCCATGGAATGTCTTTATGGGTCTCTTTGTTTGTCTTCCCCTGGAAGCAAAGCCTGAAGCCAGGATTTGAGCAGTGGGGAGTTGAAAGATAATGCTGAGGGTCGAGATGTGGGGAGCCAGAGATTAGGAGGACAGCCAATAAAGGATGAATTATTGGTCTGGGTGCTTGAGTGGGCAACTGGAAATACTTTGAAGAGCAATGTATACTATGTCTCAGAGTTGTCCCAAGAAAAAGAGAGCATGGGACATGATTGATTGGGTAGATGGCATATCATGGTCATAGGGAAAACCAAGGCAGAAAAGGAGGGAGGAGCTTTGGGAGCTTGAGGTAGAACTCTGCATGTGTCACCACCTAGCACTGCTGCCCAGAGGTTGGTGTCTACGGAGTTGCTCGAGCCCAGAATCACTTGCTGAGGGAGGTTGGCTTGGTCTTGAAGGAAGCCTGGAAATATCAGGTCAAAGTGTACAGGTAGGACCTACATTGATAGCACAGTGAGACTGAGGTTTTGCAAAAGCTGTGCTTCAAGAAGTTGATGCAAATGATCCTAGGCTATTGCTGGGATCACAGGCAAAGCTTTGAGGTGTTAGAAATGGAAGAAGAAGGAGGAAAAGTCTCTGATGATAATGATACTGTGAGTACTTCAAAGGGAAACACTTTTGATTAAAAGAGAGTCCTGTGAAGACTTATAGAACACTCAAATAATTTCAAATAATTTTTCAAAATAACCTTTTAACAAAGGTGCTTGTGAATGGGAAATTTAAAATGAAGGATTTGTTGGTGCTATGGTTTAAATTTTGGCTAAAAAAATCATGCCAGCTTCTTTGTACCCCTACCATTTATTTTTCCTCAGAGTTGGTGGGTAGTTGCAGTTATATTCTGAATATAATTAAAATATACGTTAAGTAAAATTATTTTGATAGTTTAAATACTTTTCAGAATAAAGTTTCAGCCAATTCCTTTTTGACAGTGTCTGTGAAATTGCAGCCTGGATCTGTACAGGTTCTTTTTACCATCCCCAGTCCTCTTTGTTCTTTGTTTTGAAATAAGGTCTTGCTGAGTTGCCCAGACTGAGCTTGAATTTGTAATTCTCCTGCCTCAGTTTCTCAGAGTGCTGGAATTATATAAGTTTCTTCTAAGCGTTGCTTTTCTTTTTTCCCCTGTTATGAAGTAACTTTCTGTATTTACCTCATTTGGTTTTGTGAGGATTAAATACCAAAATCCATGCACACTCTTGCCATACAGTGCCTGGGGCCATTATCAGCAGCTGTGCTCAGCCCTCTGTTTTCCTGATGCAACCACGGATCCCATGCCACCAGATTAGGCCACTTATTTGGTGACGTTGCACCCTAACTGTTCCCCATGACACCGTGATATTACCAGGCCTTGATTTTCCTGGTCCTTCTTTCTCAGGTGTTGCCCTTTGCTTGGCAAGAATCTCTGTGCTGGGCCTGGGTGCTGCAGGTAGAAATTGAGTGCAGTGGTCAGCTGAAGTTCTCTTATTGTGGTTTTCTCACCCATTAGCACCAGCATGGATAATGTTTTATAAGTCTAGGAGGCTTGAGAAGGAGAAAAGGATATTTTGGGATTTGATGCCCCTAGCTCCTTTAAACAGTGCTATGTAAAGATTTATTCTTGCGACCCTTGAATGAAATCTGAAATTTCTAAACTGGATCCAAAGTCTTGGAAACAGAGGGACAATGCCATGCACAAAGTCTTAGTGGGCCTAACATTACTGCAGAGCCAGAATCCAGATCACCTAGTCCTTAGTATCACAGCTGTACCTGCAGTGCATTTCTATGAAATCTATTTCAATAGATTTTGAAATTCATTCAATATTCCTCACTGTGAATATGTTCTATTGTGTAGCCAAAGATCTGATTAAAAATTATAGATGTATTTGATCCTAATTTCAAAAGCCTGGTATCATAATTGCTTACAGATTTATAGTCTGGTTATCAAAGTTCCATAATGGTAAAAACATTCTGTCTGTAAAGGAATCCAACTTATGCCACTTGTGATTTTGGCAGTTCATTCCTATGTAAAATACTAGTAACTAGGAGTATCTTGGACTTCAAAATTTAGTGTCTATAAATTTTCAAATCACAGAATTATCTAGTCATAGAATGAGTCAACTGGTATGTAGCTTCCTAGTTGAATTTATACTTCATATTTAATGCCAAAGTGAAAAAGGAAAGAAAGACTGGGATGTTTTCATCAATCTCATCCACCTCTCTGCTCTCCACCTAGCCATCTATCCATCCATCCATCTATCCATCCATCCATCCATCCAAATGAGTTCCTGTATGTACTCACACTGCTATTTCATTATGCATTTCCTTCTTGTAGCCAGTACTTAATACTTCTTGATGACAGGCTCTGAGGCTATGTGTAAGTTGAGGTCCTCATTCCCAGGAGCTCTCAGTGGAAATCCTATTGTAACTGCTTTTTCTGGGCTTTTTCAGTGCCCCCTGCAGTGACAGTGTCCCATTCTCCAATCTCCTCTGGCTTGGTGACCATTACCTGTCATGTGCAGAGATTTTATCCAGAGAATGTGCACATCATCTGGCTGGAAGACTGTCATACACTCAAGGGAACTGCGGAACTTGTGTTCAAGAGGAATACTGATGGTTCCTACACCAAGCAATGCTCACAGTTGGTAAACATATCAGTGCAGGGGCCTGAGCGGGTGTTCACCTGCAGGGTGCAGCAAGAGAAACAAGATTTCATCCAGGCCAGCCTCATATTGCCCACCACAAACAAGTCCACTGAAAGCCCAGGTAAACTGACATCTTTTATTATAGTCAGCTGGGTCACTCCTGTCTCCTGAGTAGATTTCAGGAAACACAGGGAGAGGGAACTTGAGGGTAACTGAGATTTTATCCAAATCGGACACCTGTGAATCTTTGACAAAACAGACTAGTTTCTCTTCAGTGGTTTCCTTTAGATGTGGCTACCTGGAAAGATTTCTTTTTTTTTTGTTGTTTTGTTTTCAGTTTTTATTTTTATTTGTATGCACATGTTTACATTGTATAATCATTAAATTTCTTGTGGGAAGCTGGTTCATGTACATAACAGATATCAATTCTTTTTTTCATCCACTTTTCCTCTCCTCTCCCTCAATCTCTTGATCTCCTTCCTATATGAAAAAGAGCCACCTCCTTGCTTCCTAGTAACTGTCTTTTATTTTGCTTTTCATTTATATTTTGTGTTTCCCGTAAAAGAGTCCCAGAATAGCAAAAACAATCCTAGGTAACACGAGCAAAGCAGGAGGCACCACAATCCCAGATGTGAACTCATATTACAGAGATACAGTGATAATAACAGCATGGTACTGGCAAAAACAAACAAACAAAACCAGACATGTGAATCAATGGAGCAGAATAGAGGATGAGAAACAAGCCCAGACATACTCAACTGTTTGATCTTTGACAAAGGGGCCAACAGCATATACTGGAGGAATAAGAGCTTCTTTAACAAATGGATCTGGGCAAAAATTTGCTATCTACATGCAAAAGATTGAATCTAGATCTCTTGCCATGTAAGATTCTTTCATTTCTGTGAAGATTATGTTACTGGCTCAACCTTCTTAGCCCTAGAGAGAGTACAGTTTAATGGTAACTTACCAGTGAGTATGAGCTGTTTGTCAGTAAAACTTTCTTGTTTAAAATAGTCTGAGTTATGTTAAAGCAAAGTCACCTGTAGATTGTTCTAGAATATTTGTTTGAACAGTCTCACTCCAGGCTGCATAATGTCTGCTGTGATGACAGAACAGGCTCTTCCACTTAATTCTTACACAGATATATGACTTTCATATGTCCAGTTTATTCACTGGTAGCTAGAGCCTAAGAAAAATGCTCATTCATCGGGTCTGAATTAATAAAAGTATGTACTACATGTAGTCTACATGTATTTCTACCATAAACACCAGCCACTATCAGTAACTACTGTTACTATATTTGAATTCAGATAAAATTATTTTAGAATTCAGTTTCCATTATAGCTTTGGAAACATATGTGATGTTATCTCTATCTCTCAGAGACTGTTTATTCATCTATAACATCTATAAGATGTTGCTAATGGTAACATCTTCCTGAGAGCAAAGGTTATATAGCAAAGGTTACATTAAATTAGAGAACTGGCAGAGATTGCATTCAGTACTGTACTTCTGAAGTTATTTTACAGTGAGTATCATCCACATTGGTGGATGTTAGATGGTCAAATCAGTATTTATTATGTGAAATAAAAGCCTCACAGATCAAAATCATCTCTATTCTGAGAGAGGAAAACAAAACAAACAAAACAATAACAGCAGCAACAAAAAGAGTTCAGGATTGGAATCAAATTAGGTACCACTTGCTAGTTCTGGAATTTTCTGGCTACCCGAACTTGGAGAAAATACTTAAACTCACAGAGCCCCATTTGATGGCTATTTCTGCTCTTTGGTATTTAGGTCAAGAGACATCTGCCTTCATCTTCATGGCCTTCGTCCTGGGCCTCAAAGTCCTGCTTGTGGTGAGTTTCACAGTCACCTATGTCTGCAGGTGGTGGAACCTGTGACAGGTGAGTTTGGGAGTGGGTCTTAGTCCTTAGGGATAGAGATCAAGTTCATGGTCATGGACTGGCCATAGAAGTTCAGGGCAAGTTACAAAGTCACAGGGGGCCCATGAGGATGCCTATGAGCGTGAGCCAACTTCAATAAGTGGTTGTGAATACTCTTTTTCATTGTCCAAATGTCTTTTAGAATTCTCAGTGGCTTTCAACTCTATGCATTCTGTAGAACCATGGGTTTGGAAGATTTTAAGTTATATCCTTGGGACTCTGAAAGTGGGACCCTACGGTGTGTGTGTGTGGGGGAATGAAAGTGGAGACAAAAATTCCAAGAGTTCTCCCCATAGGCAGCTATATTTCAGTTTTCATATGATATATATTTGCAACAAATAAGAAACTATTGCTCAAATCAACTAACAGACCATATCCAAAATCTTGGAAGTTCTGACTGGTGACAAAGATAAATATCGGTATGGGAGAAAGTTCAGAACCCAGAGAGAGGTGTTCAGTTGTAGTGAGTAGCTTCATTTTTCACTTGTACCATGAACAAGGCAGAATGCCTACCACATACAGTAATGGAGGCTTAATAAATATACTATACATTTAATTAAGACATGAATGAACAAACAAATGAGCCCATGATATTTTTCCTGCAGGGTGTACATGTCTTGTGATTGACACATTGCTTCCAACCCTCTTACAAGGGCTACAGTGGAGAACAGAAGCCACAAGGACTCAAGACCTTTGACCTTTTCTCTATTACCCTTATCACAGACATTCTCTCCCTCCATTTTGTTCTCATGTTCCCTCCCTCAGGACTTTTGGGCTGGGTCAGCGACAGAGCTGGGTTGTGGGAACTGGCAATGTCTGAACCCTGATGTATTACTGAACTTGAAATTGGCTCTGCTTCTATCAAAGGAGAATGAAACCGATTGGGAAAATAGATGTCTGCTCTGCTCTGATCATGAATTTCCAGAAGAATTTCATTTTTATCTAGGCTTTTAACATACAGAAAGTTCGAAATTTCTGGTATGTTGAACATGCATTTTTCTATTCTGAAATGTATAAGAATCAATATAAAAATATCCCTGGACCTACTACCCAAATCTTGCAAAATATTAGCAATTTACCATTATGTTATTCATTTCCTTTTAAAATCTTTGTCCTGAATTGGTGTTCATCTTTCTGAATGTGACTTTATATTTTTATTACACATGTATAAACTTCAAAACAATATATAATATTATTTTTCATATTTTATATTTTGTATAAATGCTGTTATTTTGTAACCAGCATTTTGGAACTTTTTAATGCTTAACATAGTATGTGAATTTATTGTTGCTGACATATATAGCTCTGTTTTACTAATTTTTCACTATTGTATGGTTCTCTAATATGGAGAATAGCACACAATTCATCAATTGTTTTATAATGGACATTGAAACTTTAGTGTTTTTGTGAGAATAATTCTGTCTTAAATATTCTTATGTTTATTTCCTTGGGCACCTGTGAAATATTTCTTTTGTTCTAGTGTGTTCCACAAAGCAACAGTGTTGGGAACGTTTGGGAATTATTGTTACACAAAGATAAATTTTCTATTTTTGGTCAAGCTGGTCATTTGTATTTAACCTAACTGTATTTTATTTGATGTATGAGTGTTTTATCAGGATCTTTTTTCCTACAAGATAAATTACCCGGCACTCACTGATACCTACTGCCACCATTGCCATACATCAAGTTTCTAAAATCGGGGGTTATTTTGATGAGCACTTTTTTCTACTAACCTACTTTTCTATTTCTGTCAATATTATACTGTTTTAGAATAGCTTTACAATGTTTTTTCTCATCTCTTTTCAGCAAACCAGTTTATTTTATTTCTTTCAAAATTATTGTAGCTAAGCTCCAAAGCATTTTAGAATTATTTTGTCAAGTTTTATGAAAAATCTCTTTAGAATCATTATATTATGTTTAATATGTATAAATAACTCACTTGAAAAATTATATATTGGGCAACCTGATATATTTCTGCCAGAGAGTCTTCACATACATGGGCATGATATTCCTCTATTTAGAATTTTTTCATTATTTTCAATTCAGAATTACACAGTCCTTTCCCCTAAAATAATCTTACACATCTTTAATTAAAGCAATCTTTAGTACTTGATATCTATTAAATCTTTTAAAATTATTATTGCTTTTTTTAAGTTAAAGAGAATAAAACAAAAGAGGACAGAACAAAGCAAATCAGAACATAACAATGTAAGCAACAGAGCACTTCACAAAAAGACAATTAGATATTAACAGTAGCTACCATAATGTCTCTTTTCTTTGAAATAGTTGAGCATACCTTCACACACAGCAATATCAAACATAACAAAGTAGCATAAAACCATTCAAGAGAATGAAAGTATAAGGACATTCAAAACCAAATAACAGAAAATGAACAATGGTTACTATAATATCTCATTTTCCATAAAAATTTGTTTATACTATCACACATATTAAAATCCAGTAAGACACAACATGATAGAATCAATGGAAATAGAAGAGCAAAAGCATGGTAGGACTTCAAGGCAAGATGATATTAAATCAGCAAGGCTGCCATAACATCTTGTTTTCTTCAAAGTAGCTGTTCACTATCACACATAATAAAATCAAACAAAGAGACCGGAAAAAAATGGCGGCTGGCTAGGGGATCGAGCAAAGAGTCTCTCCGGAGAATTCACACTAGAAGCTAAAAAAAGACAACACGGAGAGGGCCAGACAAATCGATAGTGATTCTTATTAACCAAGACAGTACAGCTGGAGGATTTAAAGTCATGCTGAGACCTTGAACGCTGATAACGGGAGGCTGCAAATCCCGTGCCTTTAAATCAACAAGCTGACCCATGGACCCAACAGGAAAAGCTGAGTTGCATTTGGGGACTGCGGGAAACTGAGACCCGGGCCGGGACTCCAAGTAGCAGCCAAGTCTGCACCGCTGCACCAGAGCGGATGTACAAAGCTCGGGCGTTTCAAATTTAAACGGTGCACAGATATCTGACCGGCCAGCGCTGTGCCGGGAGCGCACGCTGTGCACCGCCCCGAGCTGTCCCGGGAGTGCGGGAAAGGTGGGCAGCTTGGTGTGCGGTGGTCCCGGAATGAGGACTTGCACCGGACTCTGGTGAGTACCGGGAATCCCGCGGCTGCTGGGGTTGGCCAGAGAACAGCTGGCCCACCACCACGGGGAAATCAATAACACAGAGTCTGGTGCAGACATATTAGCCTGGCGGCAGAAACTGCAGTGTGGTGACATCACCAGGTCCCCCTGAGGGGAGGGTTGGTGGAAGACATCTTGAATCCTGGCAGAGCCTGATTAATTGCTGGCTTCAGCTCCACACAGAGAACTTAGTGGGAGACATCTTAGTTTTGGGTGGATCTGCTATTCTGGCACTCCTGTCACAGAGAGGTTTGGAAGAGAATGGCTGGGATTTGGGCAGAACCCTGTGCCATAAGTGACATTACTCAGCTGCTTCTGGTACAAAGAGAATTGGCAGGAGCTACTGGGGCTAAACCAAGCCTCTGCTTGGGGCCCAATAAGCGGATACAAAATAGCCACAACTCAGTGACAACCAGAAAGTACAGCCTAATTTATGAACTAACTGACACAGAGGCTAGAGACTAGCCTGTACCACCCCTGCATCCCAGCCTACCCCAGATAACAGTAAATTGGGGAGGACAGCAAAAACTCAAGCCAGCACGCTTCTGAAAGGCCCTAAGCAATTCGGAGAGGGCCAGAGAACTCCAGGACAGTCTGAAAGAAACCAGAAACACGACAAGACATAAAAAAAAATCTTCAGCTGCTCAACAGGAGAAAATAAGCCCAGGAGAACTAAGCACTGAAGACAACAAGCACAGTAATCATCCTCTACTCGACACAGCATCAGCCGAAATTAAAAAGTACCTACATGATCTCATAGAGGAATTTAAAGCTGTACTCCTGATCCAAGTGAGGCAAGATATAAAGAGATTAATTAAAGAAGTGACAAGCCCCGCCCAAGAGAACACAGATGGAAGAACTGAGGAAATCAGAAAAGAAAGAGAAGCATCTGAAGAAGAATTTAAGCATAACTTAGAATACATGAAACAGATCCAAAGAGAATATCAGGAAACTAAAAATTCCATTGAATATTGGCAAAATGCCTTGACAGAAACTAAAGACAGCCTTCTGAAACTTGAAGAGAGATTTAGGGCATATGAACGTGAAAGAAAAAGCCTCTTAAAAATAACAAGGAACCAGAAAGAAGCAATTCTAAAACTGGAAGATGACAAGAAGATACATAACCTAAGAATAAAGAATGTGAGTGAGGAAGCAGGAACATCCAAAAATGAAATACAAAAAATATTCACAGATATATTAAAGCAAAATTTCCCATGTATAGCAAAAAGAAATGATATCCAGATAAAAGAAGCATACAGAACGCCAGCTACCTACAACCAAAACAGATCTACGCCTAGACATATAATAATCGAGATCCCAGAAATCCACCAAAAAAACAGAATATTAAAAGCAGCCAGAGAAAAGATGCAGGTTACCTATAATGGAAAATCTATCAAAATAACAGCAGACTTATCAACACAAACTCTTAAGTCAAGAAGGGAGTGGGGAGAAATATTCCAAGTCCTGAAGGAAAAAAATAAGCAACCAAAGTTCATATATCTGTCAAAACTCTCTCTAAAAATTAATGAAGAAATAAGATACTTTCAAGACAAGGAGGAACTATGGGAGTTCGTGGCCACCAATCCAACCCTACAGAGAGCGCTGAAGGACATTACAGAGAAAGAGAGGAAGAGATATCAGGATTCCAGCTACAGTGGCAGAGAGGCCTCAGTGAACGGGGCAGACAATGGAATGAGGGAATAAGGTGGACAAATTATAGCAGAAAAGTGGAGTAGCAGACATGAGGCAGAGATGGTAAGCTAGTCTTTAGTATAGACAGCTCTGAAACTATATATATATAAAAAAAGCAGAGGTCATTGCTAATGGTGTATAACGATTTAAAAGACACAGTAGTCCTAGTGCCATATTTAGATTGAATTTAACTTGTTCTGGTCTGTCCACTCATGTCAGATTTGAAGACACAGACCTCTAGAACCAAAAATAGCAGGTTATACCATGGTAACTATCCTTACTTTCCTATTAACTTAAACTGAAATCCTGTATTACTTACATTGTCTTACTATGTCTGATCTTAATTGTATCTGAATCATAAGACTATTGGTTGGCCTTGAATGATTCTATTTGAAATTGGTATGCTTGTTAGAATCAACCCTAAAAGTAGAGGAAACTACTCTGAGCATGACAAGATGTAAAGGATATCCATACTGGTATGAATCAGTAACAGCTCTCAAATACTACAATGCAGTCAAAGTTAAGTTTTTATAAAAATAGGTGATAGTATGTTTAACTATAATAAGCCAGTGTTGTCGACAAATCTGTTGAAAATAACAAGAGAAAACATAGTAGCTACGGAAGATCATGTATATTGCAGTTTGATATGTCTTATCCATTGCATGTTTTTCTAGGAAATTGTTTTGCTGTCTTGTTATGACTTGGTTTTCCCTATAATACAGAGAGGATAGATATATAGGTAGAAATTCACACATGGGTTTTTTTTCTTAAATTATTTACGGGAACAGATTATATAATACAAGATGTAAGGAACAAATACTCTGAGGAAGAGGTGCTGAGAAACCCGAGGCTTATTTTGTAGCATTATAATATAAATTCTAGCAATCTATTGTTTGCTGATTAGAATGACATTAGTCTGGTTTCTTCAGTTCAACTTCAGCAGAGATGGGGACGGCTATCACAAAGAGAATGAGAGATGCGATGGTAGTTGCTATTCTCTTCCCTAATTTGGAACTTGAGGACCTAAAAAGACTTCATCATCCTGTAATGATTTGATTAGTTCTATAATATGCAATAAGTATATAAAGTGGGTGAAGATAGGGACAACTATTTGTAAGAAGCTAGAGACAGTTAGATAATGAAGATCTCCAGTGGACTTGCTTTGAAATCTGTATTTTTTAAATTGTTTTTTATTTTTATTTTTTTAAATGTTCTGTTCTGTTTTGATATGGTTAATCTTACCCTCTTTGAGATGTAAAACAAATGTGTAGGACTGATAATCATATTATGGAGCTTTTGTTTGATCAAAGAGCAGAATGGTCTGGAGGGTCACTTTTTTGAAAGTCATTCTAAGTACTCTAATTCTACAACCTGAACAGCTATTTCGAAGATGACAACTTGTAACTTACCAACCGACAATTTCTTACCTTTTGTTTATCTGTAATTTTGTATTATTTCTACTCCCCCCTTTTTTTTATCTCCATGTATTTTTTTTTCGTTTCCTTTTCTTTAAATAAAAAAAAAATAAAATCAAACAAAGCAGAATAAAACCATTCTAGCTGGGCATGGTGGCTCACACCTGTAATCCCAGCACTCAAGAAGCTGAGGCAGGAGGATCATTGTGAGTTTGAGATATGCCTGGGCTGCAAAGTAAGTGTAAGGCTAGCCTAAACTGCATAGCAAGACCCTGTTTCAAATAGACAACAAACAAACAAATCCAGAATAAAACCATTCCAACCAATGAATGAAAATATTGTAAAACTTCAAAGCAATGTAATGGGGAATCACGATTACTATAAACTCTTCTGTACTCCTACCATTTCTTACACTAGGGAGCCTGTACCGTATTTATTCATATGAGTTTGATTTATTTCTCTTCTGAGTATAGTCTCAAGTTTCATGCATTTATTGATCAGTATCTCATTATGATCATTCTTTATAACTGAGTAGTGCTCCACTATATAAAAATATTGCAACTTTTTTATCCATTCCTCAGTTGATGGACGTTTAGGTTGTTTTCAAGATCTGGCTATTATAAATTGTACTGCTATAAACATGGGTGCACATATATCACTATGGTATGAAGTTTTCAGTTCTTCTGGGAATATTTCTAGAAGCAGAATAGCTGGATCAAATGGGACTTCCAATCCCAGCTTTTTGAGAAATCTCCAGACTGACCTTCACAGTAGCTGTACCACTCTACACACCCACCAACAGTGCTTGAGAATTCCTTTTTCCCCACAGCATCTCCAGCATTTGTTGTTGTTGGTTTTCTTGATTGTGGC